ACCATGCGTGTCATGATGGCACATGGCACTTTGGGCTCGCGGCCGCAGATTACTCCGGGTCCCAGACCCCCCCCCATACCCCAAAAATATTTTTATTGCAGATCTACATGAATCACACAAACGACCTATTTTGGATTAGGGTTAGGGTTAGGGTTGTACTGAACACATTGTGCATATTAATCAAATATGAGGTAAACAATAAATAATAGTGGCATTTGTAATTGAAACATGGATAGCCATCAATCAGAATGGTCAAAGAAAAGTTTATTTTGGTGTTTACAGCTGTACCTCACAACTGATGTCAATACTACTGGAACCAGTTCTTTGTTATAATATGGATGTATTAATTGTGTTCTGCTTGCAGTTACCTGATGATGTATCTCTATAGCTTCCTCCTTCTGGGCTTCTGAGATGTTCTTCTTTGCAGATTGAAGTGTCATCCTTCAGGGCTTCAGTTATATCTATAACCTGCTCAGGTGATGATGCTCTGCTCTCACCCAGACTGATTTCAAAATACAAGTTCAACTCTCGCAACACCATGTCAAATTGTTTTTTCATCTCAAACCTTTCGTCGTTCACATCGGAGGCTAGACTGTCGCTCTTGGAGGGAACAGGGAAGGGCGTTGATCGTGAGTCTAGCTCAACCCCGAAGCACTCAAAGGAATTAAAGGATGATTCACAGTTAGGCTGTTGCTCTGGACACCCAATAGCAATGACATGGGCTGATGATGCTGGGATACATTTTGGGAATTGATTATAACTGGTATCTTGACTTAAAAATCCCTTTACCATGTTCTCAGTGTGACATTCAAATACGTCCATCTCCTTCTCTTCCTCTTCTGGTACCTCCTCATGCTCATTGCTCTCTGCCTCTGGCATAGAGTGTTGAAGTTGTTGCTGCCCGTCTAGGCTTGTAAGGAGAGGGCTGTTGCTCAGGCCATCCTCATATTCAAGTGAGAGCTGGATCTTTTCGAAAGTGTCAAAGCCCCCCGGCACACGGCCGTTGAGAGTTAAGGCAGATGGCACTGGGGAAAATCTGTCAGTAGCGTTTAGAGCTGTGGGGTTGCTGTCAGCATTTTGTAAATGGTGTAATTCATGAGGACTTGGCACAACTGCATCACTTGTTGGGGGGGAAGTGAAAGCCGAAAGGTCATCTTTATTTTCAAGCATGAATGTCTCAGCTCTGTGTTGGTAATCAGAGAAACAACTAAGCTTGTTTTCTTGTTTCTCGTCGATTTTGCTTGTTTTGTCCTCTGTACAATTACTGATGCATTCCTCAGTCATGTCTTCTTTCTGTTGTTGATCATGCTCGGATTTCTCTAATATCTCTAAATATTGCACATCAGTTTTAACACTTGCCTCTTCTCTTTCCTGTTCCTCTGTTTTGCCTTCCATTGTTGTTATCACAACATTGTATGAGTGATCAGAGAAGCATTCAACGTTATTTCCCAATTGCTCATCAAGGTGTGTGAATGTGTTGTCATGTTTACTTATATTACCCTCTGTCCAGTCGATGTATACCATGCAGTCACCAGTTGGTTCTTCAGTTGCGTCTTCTATGTGATTTTCTATTTTGTGCAGAAGATTTCCCTCCATGACTGGTGAGTTTTCAGTTCTTATTTCTTCTTTGAAACTTGTAATTCCTTCTCTTTCCTTCATCTCAGTTTCCCCATCCATTCTGGCGATTTCATCATTTGTTACAAAATATTCAACCTCCTGTGTCTTCGGACTGACAGGAAAATAGCTTGACTGATCCGGCTCTTTCATCTGATGTTCCTCAGTGTCATGGTTTTCTTGTGTTCCACCCCCTGCAGGAGGAGGATGGGCTGGCCTACATGGACTTCTGCTGGGGCTGGATTGCCAGTGACAGCTGCCTTCGTTGCCAGTCGTTCTGTGTGTTTCGTCTGTGGTGAGTAAACAAGCCTGTGGATCTGAGTGTGACTGCCATGAGATTTCTTTTTCATCTCTGCACTGTGTTCTGTTTTGGTGATTAAACTGGTCAGGAGCTGAAACCTCCTGTGACAGCCCGATGTCACAACAGAGCGTAAGCGGTGTTTCCATCTCGCAGACTTTTCCCGATGCAAATAATTCCACATCTGCAGTGCTCTCTGAGTTTCGACGTTTCTCTTCAGCCTCCTTGTCAGTTTCAATCCAGATTGCAGGGTCAATTACACTGAAAGGGCTTGCCTCATTATCTCCTCCAGCAGGCTCTTGACTGATTCTAGCAGGCAATGGAGTCTCTGTTGTGTGATCAGCCGTTTCACTCCCGGCTTTGGCTATCATCTTGCCAGCAGCATGCTCTCCTTTAACCACACAGAAGTCTTCGGCTTCGTGACTCACACTCTCAATTGCAATACTTGTGGCTAATACCACATCATAACAAACAATTGATCCCTCAGCACATTCAGCAGCAGAAGGGATGGAGCTCTTGCTCATGGCATTCTCATTATCACAGCCTTTTGTTTCCCCCTCACAGACGGCAACATTTTCCTTATCACAGATATGCAATTGTAATATTTCTTCCTCATTTTTTAAACCTTCTGCCAAGATCCCAGAGGGATGCTCTTCAGGGTAAGAGCAGAATAATTTAGAGTCTGTATAATCAGGGGAAGATATTGCGCTGCAACCCTCTGCCTTTTCTTCAATGAGAAGGATATTCTCACTAAATCCGAGCTCACCCCTCTTCTGATTACTCTCAGATTGGCTCCATGTATCGCAGAAACCTGTGTCATGTGGCGCATCTTCAACCTTGCAATCAGACTGACATCTGACCCTCTCATCACTTGAACTGAAGGTGAATGCTTGGATTTGACTGACACTGTTTTGCACCTGTATCCCATCTTCGTCATTACTTGCTTGAAGACTGCAACCACCAGGGGGCTCGTCTTCAAGTGATTTCCCCAGCCGATTGCAATCAGGATGACTGGACGTTTCTTTTGAAGTGAAAGACTCTGCTAATGCCACACCTGCATCATCTTCCATGTATACACTGAGTGTGTTAGTCTCAGAAACTGAACCCTGCTCATCTATCAAAAGAGGTTTGGAGCTTATTTCAGCAGAGATCACACAGACTTCAGATGATCCTGAATGTGCGTCGTCAGTGTGTGAAGTAGTCAACCTACTAATAGGGGTGACAGTCAATTGAGTGTCTTCAAAATCCCCACATTCTGCCATGGATTCTAGGCCCGTATTCTCCTGCAAGATAGTTGTTGATGATGGAGAGCTGATGGCTTGCCTAAAAGTCAGAAGCTCTGGGAAGTCAAACCTGCTCTTGCCACTGTGGTTGTCTGTCATCGTGCAATTTGTCCTTGGTCGCTTGGGGGAGGGAGGTGCAGTAAGCTCAATCTGGGTTTGTGGACTTATATCTTCTTCTGTGATTGTATCCATCTTCTCCAATTTACTGAACCTGAAATAGAAACAACTGGAGTGTGAACACTGCATCAAAAAGCCACACTACTCAGATCAATAAGTGTCACTCTATCAAAAGAATGGAATCATGTCAATAATGTTTCCAATGCATAGCTTACTTTTAGTAGATAACATTTCTAGAAAACCAATTCCACGGCTGAATCTAGTGATTCAAAATAGGCTGGTTAATGATGGTGTTGTAATCTTCAGCCTGTACTGTAGTCCATTATTTGTCTGTATTACCATAATAGCCTATGTTCAAGTAATCCCAGGCAAACCACAACAACATAATATGCAGTCAGTGGATTTCCTATACCGCAGCAGATTGTTACACAGCATGATTCTGATTCACTGTGCAGAATACAGAGATGGCACTGTGGCACTGTCACTGCTCTGTTGCTTCTCTACTATAACACTGGGAATCCGTTTTTGACAATGCTATCTTTGTTACACACATTAGGCCATTTAAAAATCAAACGTGTTGACTTGATAGAAACTCGATAGAAAAAAAGCACAGGTGTTTCTTATCACATAGATGATAGATGTTTCAATAAAATGTCCCTGTGAGCCATGACTGTGTTTCTGTCAGCATACACTATACACAATTATATATTTTTAAATATTCTAGTCTAGTCAGTACTTTACAGTGTGAGATTTGTTGAGCTATTTTTGATATATCAAGCAATAAAGGATATCATAACAAAATAATAATACAAAGCTTTCTCTTAAGAAAAATAAATTGCAGTGTTAACGCAGTGTGGACTGATATGTTTCACCAATGTTACTATGGCCAGCTAATGCTAACCTTTAGATAAAGGTGTAAGATGTTCCTTTAGTTATCTAGCCTATATGCTAGATTTGAGCCAGCAAGAACAAGTGTACAAAATGACTGAAAAAACAACAGTATTTTAAGAAATGTATGAATTATATTTTGAACCAAACAATTTCCATAACTTAAGCCACTAATTCGCCATTTAAAGTTTGATAACCTAAAACAAATCATATTCAGCTAATGTTAGCATAAGCAAACCTTTTAAACTCAATAACGTAATTTGTAATTTCGGATATTAACTTATAGTCGCTTATATTTTAAGCTAGTAATATATTTTACTTAACATATATATTTTTAAGTTACTTACCTTCTAAATAAATCTATAATAGAGCTCAACATACCTAGCCAAGTGACCTGTTGTAGCCATCGTTAGTTTCTGGGCCTGACGTTTCCCCGGTGTCCTCTATGTGGCGGCAAACTGCTGCCGCTGAACAAAGAAGGACTCCCTTTACGTTAATGGTTTAGCTAGCTAACATAGCCTTCTTGTATTGTCTCAGGTTAAATAAATTAGAAAAAGTTTATATATTGCTGGAATGTGCAGTAAAATCAGTTAACAAATAGTTAAATATAAGTGTCGAATATGAACACTAGTAGGCTATTTGTATTTGTTATTCCTGCTGCCTTTATTTTTAACTTATTGTTTGCGACATCATGCTATTGCCATACAGTCTTTGGCTACTACTCAACCAAACACAGGGAGCGAAAGAGACAGAGATGCACTCCCCTCCCTCTCTCTCTCTGTATCGGTCTCCTCCTCTCAGTACATCAGCACCAGTGTGTGTTTAGCAACATCATCCTACGGACCCGCACCGCTTACTTTCAGTCGAGGCTGACTTTTCTCCCACAAAAGCTCCATAGAATTAAACAAAACGCTCGACAACATTATAAAGCTACTAGTGGCTCGACAGAAGAGCAGTTTCAGATCTTTTGAATCGCTTCTTTTTTCCCGTCCTCGCAGGTTTCTTGGACCACTCCAGACATCAGACCAGACTTCTCCCGTTGACTCGGCACTCTCTCAAGGTAGGTTGGATATTAAACTAAAACTCTTTCTGTGCTTGAAGAAAATATAAACATATTCTTGCACATTGACATGCATGTTTCAACCTGCAGTGCGTCACCCTTTAGGCTAATTTATGGGTAATTAGAGGACTAAAAATACGCAAATTACAATAACGACACATCAAAAATCAATTCAGCCTTTTATATATTGCCATATGCACGTTTTGCACGTAAATCTTGTCTGCATTGGATACACATGGTTATCTCTTGCTCGGGTGACTAACTAGTAACTAATCATACACACATTCACACCAAGATTTAGATTCAACAACTAAAGTGTAAAGACTGGGGTAAATTTGGATTGGTGACGTCTGATTTATGCAATACATGCAGACTGTGGGAATTCTGTCGACTAAAATTGTGACTTTTGCGTGGGATGTGCTTGGCACGACGTGGTGTGATTCTGATGTAGTTTGGCACTGGTGCTGATGTTGCAAGAGGGTGTGTGTGTGTGTGTGTGTGTGTGTGTGTGTGTGTGTGTGTGTGTGTGTGTGTGTGTGTGTGTGTGTGTGTGTGTGTGTGTGGTGTGTGTGTGTGTGTGTGTGTGTGTGTGTGTGTGTGTGTGTGTGTGTGTGTGTGTGTGTGTGTGTGTGTGTGTGTGTGTGTGTGTGTGTGTGTGTGTGTGTGTGTGTGTGTGTGCAGGTGGGGGTGTGGTATGTCATTTAGCCCACATCATCCTCACAATGAAGCCACTTTTTTGCAAATCAATGCATGCATGATGACCAAAACTCATCCACCAGCCTCTACTGTATGCTTGTTGTGCCCCCACCTCTCCTACACACACAAACACACATTCATTCACATACGCAACACACATTTCTAGACAATAAAGGCAGCAGGATTACACAGAAATCTCCCAGATTTGCCTGGATCAAACCCTCTAACTGCATTATTCCTATCTAATGTTGCTTCTCTTGGCTGGGGCTCTGCCTGCATCTCAAGGTCATCCCCTGTTTGTAAATGCTGGTGAAGGAACAGATATATATTAGCCATCCGCCCGGCACGGGGGCAGGTCTGGTTGTAACAGGACTGTAAAATGTGTCAGTCCACACCTGTCTGCAGATACAGCTATGATTTATTGTCATTGTGTCTCCCAGTGGGCTAGAAGACAAAGGGTAATGACTCAGGTGTGTTGCTCTGCTCTGCATTGCTCTGCAGCCTAACCAAGTGTCTCGTCCCAGACTCTTTTTGTTTTTTTTTAGCTAAAATGAAGCACTGACATCTGCTGATTATGTAGCTTGCTGCTTGCTTTTTCCCCCCTTGTAGAAGTGAGTAACTGGTGCAAACCATTCCCATCCAAGCATAGAATTAAGAGCTAACAGGGGGGGAGGTAGGTGTGTTCAGTGTTTTGTGCTAAAAAGTGTCATGCCTCTGAATCCATCAAATATCATGATTTTTTTCACATCACTTTCCTAGCATTTATCCTTTTAACTGTGATTTACGCAGCTTATGCTTGTACATCTTTTACTGCTAAAGAATTTGTACCTGGATATATAGAGGGGATTTCATCATTATCACATTTGCAGGCTGTTGATTGTCAAGCAGTTGCTAAGGGGGAATATTTGTTCAGTTATCAAACATTTAAAGATGTTTTTCATTCCATTCCTTCTTCTATTTCAGTACAAGGTTGATGCATGTTCAAAAGAAAAATGAGAGAGGCTCTCGCATAGCTCTGAAAATGGACAATTAGACAACGGTCTGATATGGAAGACAGATTTGATCATAAATTCCTGGTACCTTGCGAACCTGCACAAAAATGTGTATTCTCTTTGGGCCAAACTGACCGTCACACAACTCAGATCTGTGAGGACCGTCACAAAATGAAAGTCTTTACAAAGTAAAAGGCGTAGGAAGATGATGTTGTGAAAGTGCTCCGCCATACCATGTTGCCACTTGCGTCACTTTAAAGGTTGTGCAGTTGCAGGTTTTATATAAGCAGAGCTAAGTGGGCGGTATTAAAAAAAATTGTGATTTATTTAAGTGTTAGTTTTCTTTCTGGTACATCCTAAATAAACACTGGAGATAAATTATTGTGCAAGAAGTAAAGTAATCGCATCTTATCATAATAGCAGTTTATTGTATGATATGGAAAGAAATATCATGGATGGTGACGTAAAGCTGGGCCACCAGACATTATACAGATGCAGGATCTGCTCTGCTGCTTATTGCATGCATGAGAAAAGATGAGTGCATTATGGTGCATGCAACTTTGTGCATATTGTGTGCATATTAGAAGTGAATGAACATATCGTTTTGCATCTTTCATCGTAATAATTCCCCGGATGCTTTTCGAAGTTGTGTATGCTGACAATATGCTGGTGATATGCTTGTGATGCCTTCAAATGCACTACTTTAGATTAATACTTAATGATGATTTCCGTAGGTTGCACACAAATACCCTTACATACTATGAACAATTGTATACGTGCATTCATTCACATACCTGCTGTTTAGGTACAAACGGACGTGCACACACATCCACACAGGTACGTTATGGCAGTGCACATCTCTCGGGGGACACACCTGTCTCCCTGTGAAGCTGCAGTGCCCAGGCTCAGCCCACCCTGTCTGGCAGCCTGTGTTGTAACAGAACAGTGTTGGCAACTTGCTGTCAGGCTGCGCTGCCTCCTCACTTTCACTGCAGCACTTAGGGACTTTTCATGTAGCAGGATGTTTCTGATCGCTACGCACAGAGAAAAGAGTTGACATATTCAGACAGGAAAGTTCAACCCATAACTGCATGGTAATTAGTATTGCTGCAGGTCTGATATTCTAATTTACAATTCTCTAGTCAGTGCGTGGTTGTTAACCCTTGGGACAGAAGCTGAACACTGGGTAGCATACTGTTTCATGCTTCAGGATCATTCTAATTATTCCATTATCAAATTCTTTTTTGGGATATTTGTGTTGCACTCACTGGAGTAACAAAATATTTTCTGGAAAACTGGGAAACTAGAGAGGTGCAGGAATGAGTCCTTAAACCGAGATATGAGTTAGCATTTTAACGTCTTTTCATTGGATGCCTGTAATAAGATCTGTGGTTAACACAAGCTGAAGAGATGTTCACGTTTTGTTCTACGACATCATTTACGTCAGTGATTACCCCAGTGATTATTGTCTAAAGCTTCTGTGTGTCATAAAAACAGGAGTTGCTAACAATTGACTAAATTCCACTAGGACACATTACGCCTAACATTAGCTCCCTTTAGCTTAGCATGAGTCATTCGCCAGCAGTCAGCCTACTGTGATGAAGTTCGTTTATAGCCTAGCATTAGCTTGTTACTTCTAGTGATGGCATTCTTCGTCCCAAAAATCTACCATAAATGGTGTTAGTATCATAAATGTTTCTTATTAAATCATGTTGAACCGAAGAGAAAATTGTCAATTCTACCAAGAAATAAAACATTTACTCAAATGACAAACACTTATGCAAGGGCATGCCAATGTTTCTGTCCTTCAATTGATGTGTTCGCATCATTTTCACATATCAAAGAGACATATTCTGAACTCTAGACGAACAGTTATGCTGCTGAATCATTTTAGTTACTGTTGAAACATTTCAGAACACCACTTTTTTTGTTTTCCACACTGAAACACACACAGGGTCAGTTATGGAGGAGGGAATTGTCCAACTTCCTCTCCTTTCTTTTTCAGAGGCATCTGAATGCACTTAGGCTGCTCTGCAGGTCACATTAACACACGGCTGATTTCTTTGCTGCCAAAAAGCTTCTATTTGAGAGGTGCAAGGTTTTTATCTGAACACTTTTGTGCTCATACTACTGTGCCGTAGCTACTTTACAGAGAATTATCTCCTCACACGCAGCATGTTATTAGACTGCATATTGGTCCAGAGAGGGCTGCACACGTAGGGGAAAAGTCGGGGATATAATGGTCCTGTGGCTTTATGTGCCAAAGTGTCTCTCACCTAAATAAATTACCCATAATTCGTGGCAAATGTGTTTCGACAAGTGTTTTTTATGTCAAGCGTCCATTTTGAAATTAAGGCTTTTTAAGCTCAAAGCTCATTATTATTGTCCTGTATTAAGGTCCTTGCTTCACACAAATGCAGGTGACCGAAAATGCTGCATATCCCTTAATAATTCATCAATACGTGCGTGTGTGTGTGTGTGTGTGTGTGTGTGTGTGTGTGTGTGTGTGTGTGTGTGTGCGTGTGTGTGTGTGTGTGTGTGTGTGTGTGTGTTTGTCAGTGATTTTTAGGTTGCATCCCCCTTAAGCTATTACTTTTAATTAGGATTATTTTTTTAAATGATTGTTGCATTGTTTCCCTGATTGAATAGCGTTTTCTATTCACCGTTATCCAATAAGTACATGCCTTATTAACATAAGAACAATGTAGCTATTGTCTTATCTGCAGTGGTTTAATTCCTAAGAAATTAATCACTTTTTTTGTATTGAGCCTTTTAGTGTACATGCAGTATGGAAGCATGACCAGTCATAAGGTGAATTTCCGCTTTGTTCATTATGAGTCCTTGGTGAACCTGGGTCAAGCCTGGCTCAAAGCAGTTTTTAAAATTGGATTTCAGCCTCAGGGCAAAGAAAATCTATCTGTCTTAGACAAATGGTTTCCAAATGGTGGTTCAGGGACTGTCTGAGCTGCTTGGAAAGGTTCTAAGGACTCTTTGTGAAATGAAAAAATTGTTTATTTTCATTTTTTCTCAATTCACAAAGGACAACTTTTCTGATCGATGGGGCAGTCTCTGTACTGTTCCGCTTCTTTGTCAACAACGCAGCTAACTAAATGAGATCACATAATAGCCCACACACACACACACACACACACACACACACACACACACACACACACACACACACACGCACGCACACACACACACACACACACACACACACACACACGCACACACACACACTGAACTACCTCATTCCTCCATTCCACAACTTCCCAAAAATAGTCTGACCCCTGTGTATATTGATGCCTGTATGAAAACTACACACACATCTCTTCATCACAATAAAACAAACACAGATAGAAGCCTAAACAAATAGTTTTGCATTTTGGGGAAATAAGCTTATTTGGGTTGCGGCCAAGAGTTAGATGAGAAGATTGATCTTGACTCTCCGAGGAGAGCGCCATCGATCCTCTCATCTAACTTTCATCAAGAAAGCAAATAAGGGTGTTTGCCAAAATGTCAAACTGTCCTTTTAAAGCTCTATACGAGTGGTATAGCACGTTTTATCTAATTAATGACAAAATAAAAGGGCAATCAGTGAGCGAAGAATTCCGTTTAGGCTGTTCCAGTGAAAATCAGTGCGTGTATTTGCCACGATTTGGCTCAACATTTGATTGGTTGTTCCATGCCGCACCCTTCCACCCTTTCATTACATTTGGATCTGTAGTTTTTTCGGAAATCCTGCCGGCAAACTGATAACCACCTCAAATAAATATATTTTCTGTTGCGTATCAATGTGCAAAGTTCACTTGACATTTTATATTGATATCCTCACTTCCAAATCCAACTGCTGGTTTTCATTCTTTCTGACCTTACTTCTTTATTTGTATGACGCTGTCTTACTGAACTCTATTTTTGTTGTTCTGAGAAGGGACCATTTTGGAAAACTACCTTGGTGGTGAGTTCTTTCTTTGACATCTAGTGTAGATCTATTTTCTGTGGAAATGTGGTTAATTCACCCTGTGACACCATAAAGCCCTGAAAAAGAAAAATCACTAAACTTGTAGATGTTTCATTTTTAGTCTATTAAGTTATTCCTTGCCATATAAATGGTGCGGTTTGTATGTTGCTGCTTTTTTTTAAATCACCACTGGGAAAGTATTGAAAACAGTCATTGCACATAACCTCATGCAGCAATAATGTAACATTGGCAGTCAAAAAAGGCATAAAAGTGATGCAATATTAGTCCCAGGTGAGCTTTAGGTGTTGGCATAGTTTCTTTCCTTGGCGTATTGTAACACAAATGAAACTATTTACAACCTTGAAGGTACAAAATCAATCTAAAAACCTATATCATGCTTTAAAAACATGGTCGATTCAAACAAGCATCCTTAAATGATGCTTTGCAAAAACCAATGCAGCATGTCCTCAGTATATGCCTGCAGCAACTGTTGGATGCTTGCCCGGGTCTCCTCACCTCACCTCACCTCACCTCATCTCACCTCTGTGCACACCACACACACTGCTGCCACCAGTCTGTCCCATAAGAGGTCTAACGATCCTCTAAGCAATGAGAAATAGAAATGTTTCCCAAAACTCGAACCATCTTTTGCTAATTATGATCATTACAGATTGGTTAATGTACTCAAGGAGGTGAAGTGGCAGCATCAGCACTGTGCCGATGCAGCTGCAGTGGGGGAATTAGGGGGCAATTAACACTAAAACACATTTCAGTTTTTCTGAAAAGTCACAGAGAGCCAACTATTTTATGATGTCATTATGACCCTTTCCACATTCAAAGAGTTTCATTTGGAAGTGAGATTTTCTCCATTTGGAAAGTAATAAGCTTAAGGCTTGAAAAACAAGTAGCTAAAAACGATTTTGTGACATTTCATTTTAACATGCTATGTAAATATTAGGCTAACGAAATAAAATAAAATAGGGCAAGCAGCGGATCAAAGGAAGACAGAAGTTGTATGTGTTTGAACTGACCCTTTCCTCATGAAGAAATAACAGTACTGAACTAACCATCATGTGAGACTGTCCCTGTTCATTATATTACACTCCATTTTAAAGCTTATTTTTAGATGAAAGCTTTGGTTCGCACTTTTAGAGTTCTCTAGGAATCTGTATTTAGCATTCATAAGTCACTCTTCCTTCCACCATCCACACTTCTAGTTTCATCACTTTATAAAAAGGTACCTCTTTGTATTCTGAAAGGTGCTTATAATCATTAACTAATCTGTTTGTTTGTTTTTTATGTGTGTGGCCTTTTCGCAGGCAAAATGGGGAAACAGAACAGCAAGCTGACCCCTGAAGTGATGGAGGACCTGGTGAAGAACACAGAGTTTAATGAACATGAGCTGAAGCAGTGGTACAAGGGTTTCCTGAAGGACTGTCCCACTGGACGCCTGAACCTGGAGGAGTTCCAGCAGCTGTATGTCAAGGTGAGACTCCACTGACTCACTTTCACCTGATGGATTAACACACAGACGAGACGGAAGAGAATATACACTCCTGTTGATCTGACTGGAGTTCATCAGAGGACAACAGCACACAGTTCCTATAAAGCTGCTGAACACACACTAGTTTGTTTTAACATGCTGACTGTGGTAAGATTGATTTCATACAAACAGATTACAAAAAACCTTAGATAATGTTTTTTTTGTCATAATAGTTTATTGACTGTAAAAAGTATTCATCAGTAATAGGAATGTAGTACACCAGACCATGTATTCAAGTTGTACAAATTCATGTTTAATAAATACAAAAAAAATGTTATGGACCATTTAGGGCTTGTGGAATAAGCTGTAAACACAGAATTTACATATGATCACTGTATGGTTAGCGTGTTAGCAAACAGTTGCAGACACAAAGAAGAAACATAATAATTTATTTAAAGTTATGTTTCATGACCCCTGACAAATATACAGTAAGTCCAATATGTTCTCCTTTAACCTCTGTGTTGGTCTCCACCACCTAATAAAGAAAATATCTGTCTTTTTAGTGGCTAAATGCTCTACTAAGTTCCCTAGCTAGTTGCTAACTTCTTACGTTTCCTGTTTGATGCTTGTTCGGTACCACACAGCCGATGTTTCAGACCTTTTTTGCTGAAATCAAAATAAGGTTGATAAGCGTGGCAAACAAATTCCTGAAAACCAAAACAATTAACTAAAAGACACTTAAACTCTGTAGAGCTGAGGGAACTGCACAATTGATTATTGTAGGATTTAAGTGGTGGTTTAGCTTAACTTAAAAAGTACCAGGTGAAACCTCTATTAGTATTTGTAACTCAGAGTAATAGTCATAATGGTAGTATTAACACCATTTTTTGATTGTAGAAGTATTAGCAGAAGACACAACATGAGCACTAGTAATAGTAACGAAGTATCACGGTCAATAATAAGCCATCTGTTGATTCTGAAAAGACCAACAAAATGCATTCTCAGTTGGTTTTCCCACAATTTATATTAACAGGGTTGGTTAGGGTCACATGATTACACTGGGAATACCCACAAAATCCTCTGAGGGAAAATACATTCCTATTAAAAACCCTGCAAGATTTTAGCAGGCACCCTGCCACATTCCCATTCGCCACTGCCGTATCTGGGCAGAAAATGAACAGAGGCAGATATCAGAGGCGCTCAGATGATTATCTTCTACTGCTAATAGGTAACCTATATCTCATTACCTCTGACAGAGAAGTGTGAATATATTCCATAATGTATTCATTAAGTCTTATAAAACAGGCAGGAGCACTTTCATGAAAACGATGATGGTCTTTTAATGATGGGAAATTGTGATAAAATTGCTTAATAAGTGGCTATGAATAAAGTTTACTTATATAATAAACCTGCAATAGTTAACTACTATCTCTGCTGGTTTAATCAATTAGATCTGAGCAATAATACTGTATAAATAATCATAATGTAGGACAGGCTTATCGTGGCATCTTGTGTCCTCTTGAACGCCTCAATTTCCTTAGAGTTCTTAAAAAAGCTCTCTGACCATTTTAAGAATAGGCATTCATCTTTTATCACTGGTGCCAGGAAATGCCTCACTACCAGAGGGGCTGTCGTTACATAAGACACACCTTGGAACTGAGGTCATGGGGGCACTTCCTCTAAATGCCACCGGAGCTCAAGCATCGGCTAAGACCAAAAGAGAAAGTAAAAAAATCCCAGAAATAAATTGAGGTAGGGCTGACTGGATTAAAAAGCAAAACAAGACAAAGCACATCTGTCACCACTGGGAATGACGTTTTCAGTTTGGCCAAATGTATCATGTTAAAAAAACTAAATGGAAAAGCATCAAATTGAATTGAGTTCAAATTTAACTACAAAAGAAACCTGGACTCCTGGGAAATAAGATAATAAACGAGGGACAAAAACACAAAATAAATTAAAAATCTCTTTAGAGCACAATACGACGGCACACAAGCAGCAGATGCAGGGAAATCTGAAGCCGCACAAAGGGGGAAAGGCAGCTGAGATCTAAAGGGGTCTTGTAGGCTTCTGGGTAAATCCTATTATTGATGCATCTTATTGTGTTTCTAGGCAACAGTGTATCAGTGATAGGGCTTTATTTAAATCCAGAGAGCTGATAAGTGGAAAAATGGTCTGCTGCGACCTCACATTAATGGGACAGATTGTTCCTGTGAAGAGTGTGTGTGTGTGTGTGTGTGTGTGTGTGTGTGTGTGTGTGTGTGTGTGTGTGTGTGTGTGTGTGGTGTGTGTGTGTGTGTGTGTGTGTGTGTGTGTGTGTGTGTGTGTGTGTGTGTGTGTGTGTGTGTGTGTGTGTGGTGAGGGGGTCATATGTTCAGTGGGAGAAAGAGGGAGACGGTGCAGCGTTGGTTGAAAGCGAGAAACACAGAGACGGGAAAAGTAAGTAAAGTGAGGAAAAAACGGATTTGTGAGAAACGTACGAGAAGAGTTGTGTGTGTGAGAGTCTGCCTGATAGAAATAGAATAAGAGCGGATATTAAACTGTTTGACGTGGTCATTTAACTAGTTCAGAGGAAAATGGCGCTGATCACTTTGCATCGATCACTGAAACAGAATTATGCTGTTTCTCAATTTGTATACTTCTGTACTCTGTGTACTATGAGTTCCTGGTGCCCGCATAACAGTAAAAAGTTGAGTGTGGAACGCCACTTCCTACCCTCAACAGCGGCCATCTTGGCTACCAACCAAAGATGGCGTAACCGGCTGCAACTGTGGTTACTTTGGTGGACACAGCACTATACAGATTAAAGTTTTCTTTCACATTTTATTAAACATACCATCATACTTTAAGAGAAGCCACTGTTCTTGATTATTGGCTGATCAAAACTGTCTTTAATGATTTGGTACCGAACCATAACTTTGCTAGCTAGCTGGCCAACACACGTTTATGATACTTAACACGTTTGGTTCAGCAGGATAATCTCCACATATTAACACCATTTTATAATTTTTGAAGGGTGAAGCTAACATTAGGCTATTAACAAACTACATCAGGGTCGCATCACAACTGCAAAGCTAAAGGCGTTTAGTCGTCTCATTAAGTCACTCACACATTGAAGCTGAAGAGATTCACGAGTTCTGTATTTACTGACGTATTTTATGTCGCAGAACAAAACGTGAAAATCTCTTAAGCTTGTGGTAACCTTCGACCTTATTTCAGGCTTCTTACAAAAAAATACGTTTAAAAAACCTTTGACTAGGGCTAAAATGCTAACTCAATTCTGGGTTTTGGTACCAATACTGCACGACTCTATTCTGATTCAAATCATTCAAATAGGAATCTCTCCTATTCTGTTTCTATGGTCTGTGTCCTCCCTGTGCATGCATGCGTGAGACAGGCAGGGTTAGACTTACATCTGTGCACCTATATCTTTATTTTTCTGCTCGCCCACACACTAACACAGATCTGCACCTGCGACAGTCGCGGGGTGCTAGCTGCAGTTACCTCGCCTTCGGCTGCCAGCCTGGACCTAATGTACTGTTTTGGCTGTACATAAACGCGCTGTTCTCTAGCTTCTTCTTTTTTCTTCTTATTCTCTGTGCTCTGTCTCTCACTCCTTTCATTTCCACTGCCTTTGTGGAGGTAATCATCTCTTAGGCTGCGTAAAGGGAGACAGAGGAAGAGAAAGTGATAAAGAGGGAGAGTTGAGAGGCATCAAAGAACAGGAAGGGAGGGAAAGCAGGTGTAGGATGTCGGCTGGAAATAATAGGCGTGCGTATCTCGGGGCAGTCTGTGATATTCATATTTGATGCTGTGGTGTTGCATATAGTCTGCGGAGTCCCTTTGTATACTGTAACCAGTGTTATCATAGCTTACAGTTTCATTTGATCAGGGCTGGGGGTCATGAATTACTTGGTATATCAATATAAAATAACTCATTAAAAGTGTACAATCTCAGTTCTTTCTGTCTGACTGTATAGAGTTTAAGAATTACTCATGATGAATTGGTGGATTCAAAATCATGGCTAAATGGATATAGAAATTAAGATTGTGAAATAAGTGGTTGAAATGAGATCCAGATTATAATAAGATGATTGAAATGTCCAACAGTAAGGACAATCCAAATGAAATTGCATATTTGAATGACATTTTTACATTTAAGTGAGCAGAAATGGATCTTTAGAGCAAAACGTATCTACGATGGCAATCTCCATCTTCTTCTAATCAGTTAATCACAAATATCTATATATATATATATATATAATATATATCTCTTTTTATTTAACTATTTGTGAGACAAAAATAAAATATTCTGTAAATTTGATGTATTGAGTTATACCATATTAGAATAATGTGTACCAAGCCAGCCACACAGCAAAATGCATTAATAATAAATAATTCATCTTTGATTAAATTATCATTGTAGGAGCCCTACTTTTTTATGTATTACCTATTTCTTTATTTTTATTCAACTATTATGAGAAAATAAAACATTCTATGAATATACTATTTGAGTTATACTATTTATTATAATGTGCACAAGGGCAACCACACACAATTAATAAGCACTTTTTCACAACATAGACAGCACTAGTAGTTTGTGGACATCACAATATCTCTTTGTGAGTTTTTAGAATCTAGTGAATATTCATTTTTATATATATATAGTGTTATCTTGTCGTAGCAATATGTCAAACCAAAAACACTTTCCAAGGGCAGCATCATATTTCATATTCCTTGTTTTCCAGTGGATTTTCCCTTTTAATGGCATTGCCAAAGCCATGCAGCGATGTAAAAATGGAAGAGGGGCTTCCGTGCCTGTTCACACAGCAGCGCCTGTATGCCACGGCGTGTGGCGTTTCTCAGCGCTGACACGGCAGCCGCTCTAGGAGCCATTTGTAACAGGATAACAACACTCCCTGAGATGTTAAGGTGATAGATTTTGTCACTGGATTTTTTTTTCTCGAGATTGACGCATGCAGAGACAGCAGTCACACTGACAG